GGACAGGATGGATGGTTCGAAGTCCACTTGCGTATGGTAAAATTTGCGAGTACGAGTCGGATACAGGGGGCCAGGTGATAAGAGGGGAGTTCGACTCGGAATGGGCATCACCATCAATCAACTGACCTCTTTTTTAATTCTGTTCGATATCACTTTTAACTCCTCCATAATTCCAGCATACTGTCGTTCGTCCATAAGGTTCCTTGTGGTGACAGGTAGTGGTGATTTTCGATCGATTGGCTCTGGAGGGTTCTGAAAGCATTATTTAGTACTGCAGGTAAGGTGTCTCATAAGTAGTGAATATTTTTGGTTATTTTATCGATTTTAATTTTTTTTGCAATTTAACTGGAGTGCATTTAGCCAAATATACACCTCTTCATCGCCAAAATATGGCCTACGCATGGGAGTAGACACTGTCTCCCCTTTGGAGTTAAAAAGACTTCTTACAGAAAGATCCGATGTCGGTCTTGAGACCATGTCACTTAGCGTAAATTTTCTTAACGAGGAAGGGCGCTAGAGATCTTATGGTCAGTAGGTGGTCATTGCTGGTAAGAAGTTAGGGCTACACAGTGGAGCTGAAAGAACTGTCACCCCGAGAGTCTCCAATTTTTTATGAATTATTCTCCACAAGGTGGGTCGAACGACCTCAGAAAAAATGCAGTCTTTTTTGCTTTACTTTCAAATTGAAGGCGTTGCCATCAAGATGTCAACCTTCGTCATCGCCATTGACCCTCCTATAGATAGAAGTCGATTCTCGGCTCAGAGCCCTCTGCCCCCTTGTGTCCCACAAACATCGCAGATGGGTCGAACTCATGGTGAGAGGAGTTTGGGACACAATTCCCGAACCGTTTAAGCAACGCTAGTGCTGCTTGTGGATTTTTACGCACTGCATCCAGTCCACATCACCGTTGAACATGCTGGATGGTCAATGAAAGGAACTTTTAAAAAACCAGAATGAACGTGACGACGTCAGATTGTGTTTGGAGCTGGTTGCGCTCAGAACATTTAAGAGACGAACCCCACATTTCCACGACTCTATAGATGTCTCAGCACTAAAATTTTGTCACAGCTTGAGGACTCTGGCAAATGACGGTTAGGTAACGTCCCAAATTCCTTTTAAATGGCATTAGAAGCCTTAAGGTTGTCGGTCACGAGTTAAAGTGTGGGTGATCTTCTACTCAAGGAACCCAACTCCAGATCAGAGTGAACCACCGTTGTACCATGGATTGAAGGAGCGCGCTCTCGCCTTTTGAGTTGACACTCTTCGTTGCTTGGCCTTTGAAAGTCCCTAATCGGTTGTGATGGAAAAGGAAGCTCAGAAAGTGATCTAGAAAAATTGAAGTTTTAGCCACGTAGTGCAGCGTAGAAATGGGCTGATAAATGTTCCTCGCAAAACATGTTTCAGGCCTTCATCCTTTTTCTGGGAATTTGCAGCAATAAATGTAAAAATATCCATTATACACATTTACGGAAAAATGTCGCCCATTGACCGCGGCGACACCCCTCAAATTTTTATTGCCTTGCCCGCATATTCCAAATTTTGAGCGGTGCTGTATTAACCCGGAATACCGTTGTCAAACTTGTAATGGCCACGTTCTTTGAATATCTTTCACAGTGAAAGTTTTAGAGAAGGGTTGCTTGGAATTGCTTCTTCAGTGATAAGGTTGTTCTTTCTTGATGTAGAAAGCTGCCTTTTTGTATGCTATTAGCTAGCTCAATGATACAACAATTGGCAAAAATAGATTCGCGTTCAGCCTCATTTGTCAGAACTACAGATGCGAATTGGAATTTTCCGCGAGCGTTCCGAAGTTTCACCTTTGCGGGACGGGAGATTTTTGCTTGGTTTGCAGCCATTAAGCATTTGTACGAGACAAATGATGTTTCAGCAGTTTCCGCATTGTGTTCTCATTGATTTGGTATGTACACCGTATGGAAGCGTTTCAGCATTAGGACGCAATTTTCGGGAAACCCAAAAACTGCTTGGTCGCCAATGTGTTAACTATGGACAAAAATTCCTGAAGGAAATAGATTATAGTTAATACACTTCTTTCGATCTAAATGATTTAATTAACATTATAAACAACATTTTAGGACAACATGTGGATTAATCGTTTCATTGTGCCGTCATAACATAACCATCACGACAAAGCACGGAATCCGTCCGAGACAGTTTTGAAGGGCGTAAAGCGTGGAGAGGGAATAGCGAAGGAGAAGTCAATATAATAAAGTGGCGGAGCAATGCTGACTGGGGATGGGGCCAAAATCAAAAAGTAGCGGCTTGATGCCGTGAGAACCCAATGCCCGTGATATCACATTTACATGAGTGATCGCCAAGCATTCCTATGCAACTTCTCTTGCAATAGCGGTTGATCAAGATCCTCCTATCAAAAGACAGCTGCTGGGTCAAACGAACCCCCTTAGCTTGCACGAAATAAAGGAACTCAGTTTGACCCATGGACGTCTCGAACGTTCTGTTGCCAGAAAATAAAAACCCCACAAAGATCAGGAATCGACAACTTGACTGTTAGTCTTCACGCCTATATGCAATTCGATAAGTTGGAAATGTGAAGTTAGTGTAATAAACCGCACGTATGAAAAGCCAATCGACAAGCGGTACAGAGAACATAAACCCTCACGCCTAGTCAGCCAAAATATCCATTCCACTTGAATATCGTGGGCTGGACTCATATTGCGATATTTGAGCGGCGCCAATGCTGCACCCTAAGGCTCTAGCGTCTAGGACTTGTCAAATTATCCCAAAAATATGTACGTGCTTTCCGCACTTGTCTCGGAGGAAACCTCAATTTCAACCAGTTTTGCATTACCGCATGAGGTGTGTTAGCTACGAATTATGCACACAGCTGACCATGCGCCTATTGCCAGTGCACCATATAGATGATTTGCTGAAGACGAGGAAGCGCTCACATGGATTTTGGAAAATGTGTACTTTTGAGCAAGTGCAGGAGAACTGACGTTGTTGCACGTCATTGAGAGAGGGAAAGAATTCCGCTCGGTACTTGTCGGTCGGCGGCGAACCTCTATTCGACCCCCTGAAAGAAAGTAGAATTATGCTGGTGTTGTCTGAAGCAGTGAGCCGGGTTTCATATGCCGACCAACCATGGCAGAAGTCGAGGTGCACCGCTTTCGTTTTGTGTTCGAGCGGTGAGTAACAGTTGTTGAGCAGTTTCTTCTCAAGATCGACAACATATCCTTTAGATTTCCTAGAATGAAGTGCCTTTATATTGTCAAAGTCACAATTTACGAAAGCAGAATTTGCCTGAAAAATAGTATCAAGCGATCGGCGTTGATCGCTCCCTTTTGGGAAGTGCCAGACGTTTTATTCCCATACAGAACAGTAGTGGCATTTGAATGCTGCATGGCCTGTAAAATGACTTGCGGGGGTCCAGCCGAGGTACAAGTCAGTGTTTTTATCCTCCCAGACAAGTCTGGTACCAATTAACCGACCCCGGAGGGATGGAAACTTGGATGTTCTGGGCAACATTCTATCTGAGATTTGACCCGCGAACCGTGCTCGTGGGAGGTGGTGTCCTTGCGGCTGCTTTACCTCCCTTCTCGGCTTCGATAGAGCACCTGTTTCAGATATCTAATTGCGAGTCGTTTTCGTTGACTATGAGTTTGCGGAGGAGAAGAGAGTCAAGTTTGTAGGTTTAGAGGGGCTACAAAATTGAGGCATCGGGCGGACTGGACAAAAATGCCCCGCCTACTCGACTGAGCATCTCCTAGGGCTACGGTCCATATTAGCTAAGAATGGCCTGATACTCAACATTCAAACATTACGAATTGTGCAGCGCAATGAAAACGCCAGCAGTGCGGTGATGATTGCCAAATTCTTCCTTCATTTCAAGGCATAACGTCCATTACTATACCTCTTGTCCTTGTGTCTTTCGCACACGACATGGCCGTTGCTTTCATTGATTTGCTCGAGACGAAATGGTGGCGGACGTTCCATGCAGAGTAGCATAGGCAACCAGTCAAGAAGGATCTTTCGTGTCTGAAGTGGCACTTACTTTGGTGTATGGACAAAATTTACACAAGCAAGCTCGTGCAACTTACCAGTGGCGTCATCGGATGGTAGCTTTCTGGTGTTCGATGGTGGAAATTCAGTGCAAACACTGTGCAAACCACGGAGGCACCAACTTCGAACATAATGCAGGAGAAGTAGACTTCTGTAAGGCTGAGATCGTTTTCAGCTATCATAGTAACGCTGACTTTTCGAAGTTGTACTCATGCTTTCCAGGCGCAACTCATGCGAAGAGAGGTCTTCAGGTTTGCCAAACTTTTCAGAATGTTTATTACATGGCATTTGTGCACATATGGACACAGAATGCATGGACATTTTTTTCCTGACCCCCTCTTATATCTCAGGAAATGGGGTCAAGTTCGATTCCTCGTTGACAATTTTGCAATTTCGAGTTTGATCGTTTTCAAGAATAGATTTCGCGCAATGAGTTAGCAGAAATAATTGTTAACCATAATCATATATAGCGAAACAATTAGTACCTTAACAAATATAACTTCATGGAAATAGGGTGAAAATATGTGGACTAGGACCCCCCTTTTCTGTATCAGAGAGCGTCAGAAAAATACATGATTCTGTGGTTTCCATGAGCCTAATTCATGCGATATGAGAACCGTTTTTTGAAAAGCCTTGGCACACAACGAATCGAACATCCCTTTATATGTATTATCACTGCACTTTCATATAGCTTCATCGATTCTTTTCTGCTCTATATCTTTTTCATGGCAATTATAACTTTGGTGCGGAGCAATGTATTTACCGATATCCCATGTACGGTAAGACAGTATGCAGCGTTAGCAAAAGTGTGCGGAATCGGACAAGAGGCAAACGTCATCTGCGCAATTGGCCTTCACAAATTTTACACCCAGTCTGCGAAATGCAACCTCCACCATCGCTGTGGAGGTGGGCAAATATGAAAAACGCGAAATTCTTCAACTCCTTCTTGCTTTTCTTCTTTTATGAAGTGCTTCTCGAAACGTCTAACAAACCCTAAAACCGCCGCTGTTGCCGCCTTGAATCTTTTAAATTCCTGCAATACGACCTCCTGTTAATGTATCTATCCTCACCTACCCAGTGTGTACCTTTCCTCATTGGGAACTCTAGCCACGGCACGTTGACTCTGATCCAGGCTAGGCAAGCCAAGTTTTCCGACGTCCCGAAATCGTTTACTTGCTCGCTTGCTAGGACAAAACAATAGCTAGTACATCGGCTAACCCTAAAAGTTATTACATCTGGCATTGAATCTAAGACGCGAGGGTGCGAATGTATGAATTACGTGGCATTTCTAAAGGATAATGGTACGCTGTCAATTATGCATCCTTTCCCGTAATATTCAACAGGATAAAATTTATCATTGGTTGCCGACCTGCAAACGGCCTAAGAAATAGGATTTTTTCCCCATATAGAGACTGCTCTGCTTATTTTCAAATGAAGCTATAGTTGGGCTTCGCACTTCGAATTGATGTTTATCGTCGCGTCCAGTATAGATGGGCTGATGCCTATGGTTTCAATCAAAATTGCCTCTATAATCAGCTATGTGTCATTACCAAAACTATTCAATTTGTAGAGCTGTTTGGGTGTGTGTGTCTTCTGAAGAAAATGGAGCATTCAGAATTTGAATGAGAATGTTTATTGGTAAAACGATACAAACCTATTATGTTAGAGCGTCAACTCGTCGCGGCATCGGGATTCGCCACCAGAGCTATGAAGACGCTAAAACGACATAAGATCGTACTCCTGGAAATGTAGTAGAGTACAATGATAGGTGTTCCAGGCCAAGAGCTGATTTTCTCTACAGTCCGATCGATAAAAATACTGTAGCTAATTTTCCAGTCACCCTTTTTTCCTCTCTTTTTAGAGCACTAGCAATGCTCTGTGATCCGTTTTGCAACTTCAAAATTTAAGGTGTTATACTTCGCAAATTATTAACCGTCCCGCCAAATGCCAGAAATTCTCACATCAGCAGGTTTAAGGATTCCGCAGGGGATGGAAGTGCATCATAATTAGAAAGCTGAACATAAAAGTGAGAAAATAGAAAGGGAAAAAAAGGTGGAAGATTGCAGGTAAAAAGGCAGTATCATTCAATCTATTCAGAAAACAGGTTTTGGAAAATTGAACACTACACAGGTTGAGTTTTTCACCAGAATCGGCTGGTAGTGTGAAGCCGAGCAAGGCCAAAGCAGAGATGAGCATACTCGGTAGGACAAGATTGAATCTAAAATAAAATAGTGATACACCTTTCGCCAATCAAATATTTTATTGCGAACGAAATATTTAATAAGTTTCCAAAATGGATGTCGCTCTTTTTTTCCATTTCCCCCTCCTAACTGCTTCAAAATCTGGAAATATTATTTCACTCCCGCAAAACAGGAGGCCATAGAGTACCGCTGATATCCAATTCAACCTTAAATGACTTTTTTTTGCCAATAATTCTTTTCATCTGCGAGTGACAGCAAATTTCAACTGCGGCTCTTATGCTGCAAGATTTCAAGATAGGGACAACTGGCACAAAATTCCATGGGAACTTGTGCACAGTCTCTGAACAGAAGGCAATATCTAAACGTCAGCAGCAAACGATTCCAACTTTTTGGAATAAAACGCTCAAACAAGAAAAACATGGTGGTAAATGAAGGCGCTATAAAAGAAAACAATCAAATTGGCTCCGTGCGAAAAGACGCGAGAATTCGCTACCGCGCCATGTGTTACTTTTCTGCGCTCACCAGCCCTACCCTCTCTATATGGTACATGGTACATCTTTTAATCCCTATATTGGCTAATGGGCACATCCTAGTACCACAGCCAGGCACACACGTCCAACAGAGCCTTCCGTCCTCTACCTCGTCAACCTTGGATTAATCCCACGCCATACAGACAGCTCAAGGGAAGCTACCTCGTAACACCAAATTGGAAGCTGAGGTCTATTTGTTCTCGCATATTGGCTCAAGCGAAATGATGCTGGCGTAAATGCAAGGTCGCGTTCGGCCCGATTTCAAAATTTTACCCGACCAACCCCTCCCCTCCCGTGAGCTAATATTACGACCTTCCCGTCAGGGTCGGCTCAACGGACGGTTGACTGTGGGTCGATGGTCTCGCTTGGGTTTCTCTCCAGGCCAGGTTGTGCCATCCCAAGCCTTTTTTTTAGCCTTTTGTTGATCTCGCTGTCAAAAGCTGAAGTGTTCAACCATTTGTTAGTTAAACTGCAAACGCTTGATCGTTCCATTTACAGGATCTGTATCAAAAAAATGGAATTGCTAGAAAAGCTCACCCATAGTAAAGCGTTCGTCGCCTTATCGAAATGGTAAACATGACGTCGTAATAAGGCTCTGGACAACATTCATAGTAAAAAATCGATCGTTTTGACGTGAGATCTGAAATGTAATCTGTGCTTTTTATACTTGATACAGTACTTCGGACTACATGGCAGTGCCAATATCTTATGTCTTTAGTCGTGTATGGGCGATGTAAACAGCAGAAAAGTTACGACAAAGGGTACAAAACTGACGAGAATCGCGAATCGCGATCATAGTATGGCTTACATCACCGTGCTCGTCAGCAATGGAATCTCCTTGAATGTAAGCAAGTAAAAGTGATTCTTACCTAACAATTCCCATTCACCATTTGGCTGATAGGTGCCAACGGAAACAGAGGCGTTACGTAGATCTGTGAAGAAACCCGAATATGTCCATGAGCCGAACTTCATCGGCAGTGCTAGAAAAAATGGGGTGTCCTGAGATTAAGACATGTTGTGCAATGGCTATGCAACAGTGGTCAATTGGCCGGAAATTAACAACTTGCGGGTGAAAGAATCGTATAGGTGTTCGATGTCGAAGTTTACGTATTGGCTAGGTCAGTCTTGCATACGAGCGCTGTTATCGTAAGGACGATATTGCCAGCGCTATACGAGACCGCCTCTGATCGATGAAGCTGTTGATTATGGGCTTCAATCGCGAGGCATGGGAAGCTTCCACAATCAACTCAGTGGTCTGAGTAGACTGAAGAAGTAGAAAACGTGGCTTGTTTCCCTCCCCTTTCCCGATAATTTGTCGCGGAGGGTCAGGGACGATTGATAATTAGTGCAAATTAAATGGCCGCATCCCAAAAACGGAAATGTTTTTCTTTAGGAGCATTTTGGATTTTAAGGGTAATCTAGTAAGCTGTTTTGGCGAACGAAGACTACGTTACATGGGTACACACACATGTCCCGATTGAAGGTATTGGTAACGAATTGATGTGCAGTACCGAACTCCATGAACAAGAAGTCGAGTGGAGTCAGATTTAAGATAAGTTTGTTTTTTTGGGCTTTTGCGCGATAGTCGCACTACCAAACCATATTGCCTACCTGAGAATCGAACGGGAAGTAGGCTATATCGATACTGCAACTTGAGCGAATCACAGCCGGTGGAATCCACGTAACATTGCCAGAACTGAAAAAGGAGACTTCGAAGAAGTATTGATAAAAGCGCGACCTTCGGCTACTCAGTTGCCTTTCTTCCTGCTGTTTGGTCCGAGAGTTGAAAACATGCAGTCGCGCGAGTGTGTTGGCGAGTGTGTATCAGAAACCTCCAATGTTAATCTTGAAGGACTATGTCTGAAGCAATCGCCCACGCATGGAGCGCGCTTTGACACGTAGGTCTTCCAAAGAAACAACCACTAATTTATCTTGTCGAGATAGCTATGTAAACTCCCCTTCAAAAAGCAAGAAAGTGTCGGGTGCAGACCAAACACCACAACTGACGACGGCCCTCAAGTAAATCTGGTTAGAAGTTGTTCATAGTGATAGCTGATTTTTGGTAAAATGATAGTTGTAATTAGTGACAATCGATCAGTAATGACACAGTTGCACGAGGCCTAATCTTTCACGTGGGCAAGACCTAACATTTTGTGAGGGCCGTTGCGTCAACTTTTGGTGCGATGGTCTGCAGGCGAGACACGTTCTCGCTTTTTACACGGGAGGTGTAGGCATGGAAAGGCGGTAATGTGGTGGATGCATTGGTTTGAATCGGATTAAGCCATTAAGAGGAATTACGAGCAATAGGCGAAATCAAGTAGAGGAATGCATGGGTCGAGGAAGGGCTCGCGATTCCATTAAGAGGCGGTTCGTGGGAGTACGAAAACGCGGCAGAGAGCGATAGTGTGTGAAGAGAGCACAATGCAGATAATGAGCAGTGCCATCTATTTTGGCAGATTATAAGGGCAAAGGCAAACCCGGTCCGTTGGTAAGTTCCCATTTCGTCGGATTCAGTGCGTGCGTACATCCAGGGATAGCTTAATCTTAATCCATTCTCTCACTGACACCTGTATCCGTGCTTATTGTTACCAATGAGGCTCAACTTTTCGGCAATCGTAGACTTCTGCCTTCAACTGCAACCAACACTATATCAGAGGAGCAATGTCGCAAAATATTAGTGTAGTTTATCTATGATATCATGACTTAAGTTTGATTAAAAGGGAAACTCATCTAGAGAGTTAGAAATCTTCATATCAGTTGACTTGTGTATGGATTAATTTCAGAGTTCTCATGAGGGTGTAAACGCTAAAGGCACGCCACAGGATGAAACTGATGTTGTTCTTGCTCATGAATATTAAAGGATGGTGTGGAATGGGCCGGATTCGAAAGGAAGGAGAGAATCGAGAAATTGAGGGGTTCCTTATCTTTGTAAGGCGGCTGTGCTAACCATAAGGCGATGAGAGACTGGGCGCGGAGATGAAAAGATGAGGTGAGAGAGCGTAGCGATCGACAAGAGAACCTTGCTGGGTGAGACGGGTACATACGGTTAACTTCGAGGCACATAGTTCCTGGTCGGGCGCTTTTCCGTGCCAGGGCGGCACTAAAGGAAAGGGAAGAATGGAGAAAGTTAGGGGTTCCTTACTTCGTAAGGCGGCTGTGCTAAGGGCAATGAGAGACTGAGCGCGGAGAGGAGAGTATGAGGCGAGAGAGCGCAACAGATGAGAGGGCGCCAGACAACAGCCTGCTGCGGACGGGGAAATTGCAGCTGCTGCAGCTAACTTTGCAAGGCCCTAGCGCCCTTGTCGGGCGATTTCCATGCACGGGAGTGCCACATCTGTGATTGTCCTCTAGGGTCTATCCTACAGACCGCTGGGAATCGTCCACACGACTTCTCTTTCACTCTATCCATATCCCCAAAAGAGATAAGCCTCACATTTGTTCGTATCCCTCTCACTTATTGTGACATCGCCTTGAAAAACATTTCTTCAAAGATAGTCTGATTTTTGCAGGGGAACGGTAACAGTGACTCACTGATAGACGACTGCATTCACTGGCCATGTGCTGTCAAACTGTTGATCGACGCTGTTGTAGAGCAAGACGTCTGGCTTCCAAATGTTAGATATCGGTAGTCGAACCTCTCGAATATTGCCGTATTCCGAGGGATCCCACGTGAGATAATGATCAACCCAACTCTAAAATTTTCAAATTTCATTGTTGCAAGCTGGCTGCACATACAGGTCGGGAGGGCAGAAAAGCGCCACTTTCCTCATGACAATTATTAGTGTTATTTTATGCTCTAGAACGATGTCCTTCGTGCGTGCCCACTTTGAATTACTCGGTGATATCCATGTTTTTGTCCTTTTATTTACATTTACAACAGGAAATCCACAGATGTGGGGTGAGGCGGCGCCATTCTCAAAATCGCCCTCACCCCATGCGACCAAGAAGCAAAAAACACGCGTCGTCGTAAATGTGTTGAAGCACTCGAATTTGGAGAATAGAAAAAAAACTCGAAAGAGTAGGATGTAGCAAAAAAGAAGTGTCATTGCCATAGGTGGAAAGGCCAAAAAGAGTTCCTAGTGAAGGCACCTGAGAACCAAGTGGAAGCGTTCCGTCGCCAGCATTTGTGACAGATGTACGGCGGGAATTTGAACGCGTAATCCTTCCGGTTTTTCGAATTGTTTACCAAAACAAACGCATTTTTTGTTCTTTTCGTTCTTATCGTGAATGGTGGGTTCAGGGCCAATGATTCACGGGTGAGTTGGATTCATGGTCTTTCCGCGAACGATTCTTTTGAGTTTATACTTTTCTTGACTATTTTTGGTTATCATGGTCACTTTTTTTGTTCTTTTACTCCCTCTCTTTTCGCAAAACAGCGTTCGTCGAAAATGCTGTCCAATCAAGACCTCATATGTCAATGTCTTTTCGCTTTATCGCTACGGAGCTAGTCCCACGGGACTAAGGCAGACTATGTGCCGATGGTGTCAATAAGCAAGCACAAATCGTAGCAATTAGGATTCAAGAACAACGTATGGCCGGCTCTGGAGGTGTTTATACCACAGTGAAACGACTTTTATAAGGCAAGAGCTTGTCTAGTGCTGGTTCGGTCCAAGCTATTACCATGTGAGTGTAGTAAATTTCAGGCTCAAGTTTTTTTAGTCTCATATGCAAATTGTGTCCACTGCAGCTAAGCTGTCACCTGAACAAATCAGAAGGTCCGAACTGTTCGGCACGTCACTTTTGGACGACCCATTCAAAGGTTTGGTTGAAAGATAAGTAAAGTAAGGACAAGAAAAAATCGTAATTTTGAATTCTAGTTTCACATCTCGCTTTGAAAGCAGGGGTTATAGCGAAACGACAGTTCTAATGCGTATACATACGTCAAAAATGGGATTACTCGCGAACGAAGCCTGGCATCATGTTGCCGTATTTGGAGTAGAAGTTTTACATTAGTCGCCATCAGCCCACTTTAAGGCCTTAGCGCCAATTGTCGCCCACTTTGGAGCCGCGACAACGGCATAGCTGCGGTGCTCGCGGGCTCTCCTATCCTATTAGGAGAATAAATTGTTGGACACGACCTCGTTTGAGGTGGAGCAGTCCTGGATGGGGAAAATGTGAATATGAAAGGATTTTCCCACCCGACCGAGGAGGTGACGTACGGCTCTTGTCTGCACCCAAGCTTGGTGTAGATTCAGCAATGGTTAATCGTTGGGGAATCTCTACACATACATTACACCACATGGAAAATTAAGTGTGTATCGATTCCTACATGATTGTTGCTTATCGGGTGTAGCTCGGATACTTGGAATGCTTCAAAAGCCAAAGAGCTCGTGTCTCAAGCAATTCTGCAGGCGAGCACAACCTCAGCAACAGATCAGAGGTCCATCTAGTGGGATCCTCAGCAGCCAGATGCGCGTCGAATGCAGACCACACACCACAAGTGACGACGGCCTCCACAAAATGTAAATGTTTTCTGCCAATGAAATGATTAGCCGGTTGCAGCAGTTGTATTCATCAGTTGTCACTAATTACAACTATCATTTACCAAAAATCAGCTATAGCATAAAATACTAGTTATTAGAATTACTTGGAGTCCACTGGACTCTTGGGCTGTGTGGTCTGCAGTCAACGCGCCCGTGGCCGCCGAAAACAAAGGGTACGTGCGCTATGCGACATATCACATACGGTAAGTCGTCACAATCTTTTATCAAGATATGTGGTAAGTCTTTATATGGAATGGAACTATTCTGAGAAAAAAAAACTACTCACCATCCGTAACCATACATTGGAGTGCATGATTTGATGCTTTTCATCCTGGAAATACAGTGAGAAGTAGAAGACTCAAAGTAGCAGGAAACTAATTTACTTAAAAAGTATCTCTTAAAATAAGGGACGCTTCACAGGACAAAAATTTGTACAAATTCAATGGTATCACTGGTTTTGCATGAATTTCAGATTCACATACGGAATCTGCTAATTTTTGTAGAGACGGTGTGCTTCAATGAATAGATCTTAGGAACTTATGAAATTCATCAACCAATGCCAGCTATTCAGGATAAAGCGACTCATATCCTACTGAAGCATCCACCTACATTTTGATAGGGTAATGTGGATGTTCATGAAGTGCATCCACAGTGTCCTCACAGATTACCGTACAATTCCCTAATTTCACCTCTAAATAATGCCAGACACACGGATTTTATCCAAAATTTTGAAAAAAATAATGAAGAAACTTTGTGTAGTCACAGGACAAAAATTTGTCCCAAAAGGAGTATTTAGTACCCACCTTTCGGACTCCATGGGCTAAATTTTCGGTACCTTTTGGGTCAAACAACATCTATTTGGATCTTGAAGAGGCTCTGGGGCAGCACCATATTGGGAATTTTTGAATAATTCGACCTGAAAATCTACGGCGCTCGCGCTGATGCTGAACTTTCTGAGTCTCTTCTTGATGCAGAACCCGTTAGGGATTCACTGAATGCTTACGGACCCTGCGACCATAGAGGTATTAACGCCTAATTGTTGATTGGTTAGTAAAAGTTAAAAAAGCGGACCACAGGGAAGTCTTCGGTATCCATGTTGGGTGAACTGTGACTGAATCAGCTGATACAAGCGGTATAGCTTGTAATACTAATAGTCTCAAACTTTTCATCACCTGCATGACTCCAGCGTTGTTGAAGGCGGGCTTGTGTACGATGGAACACAACCCCTCTAGGAATCAAGGTAGGGGTGTTGCAGGGACGAAGAATACACCAAAAAAATTAGAACCTAAGAAATGGAAACATTTTTGCCAATCAATTCGCATAGGGCGTGTCTCATCGTTGCTGCCCTCTTCAACGCAAACGCTTTCTCTGCCAAGCGGCTGTAGGCCTTGACGGCGATAGAGTGGGCGATGGCGGCTCAAAGACGGCCAAGCGAGATTGTCGGGGCATATCCTTCACTGCACTGCGTGTCCTTCAGCATCCCCCTGACTTCCCACTAGGTAAGTTTTCCCTTCTTTCACCTGCGACCTTATCGCTAATCCTCTTTGGAAATCGAATATAGTAAGAACCCGATTCTTAGAAAAACTGGCAAGAAAAACTTAGAAAAACTGGCAAGAAAAAAAAAAACTAACCACATCAAGTATTTGTTGAAAATCCAGTCCGAGTAGTACAAGAACTGGCTCGCTGTCGTTTTTCACTGGACGAGCAAGTTTATTGTAACCATCGGCTAGTTTCGCATACAAGCGGCGCTCATGATCTCCAGCCCACACTTCTGGAAATATTACAAGAATGTTGAGCACACTGCTGTGCCACCAACTAATCGTCCATCATTAGGGTTCGTGTCTTCCTTGAATTTACCTGTAGTTTCTCTTTCCGCGCACACCTTCATACCTGGTTTTTTTTTTTTTCCTCCCCCCTTTAAACAAAAATTACAACCCTTGAGAAAAGACTAAAAGATCACAAGTAATTCAACTACAGCCTATGAGTTTTAATATAACATATTGGTCGGCGCGCTGTACAAGCATTTGAAAGCACATTCAACTACAATTATCGTCCTCCTCGTCTTACCGAAAGCAAGGTTTTTTTAGTTAGGGAACAACTGCAGATCCTTGAGTTGCGGTAAGGTCTTCTGTGAAGGCTTGGGTGTGAACTAATCTACTGCAACCGCACTATGTTTAGCTTCCTAGAAAACTGCAATAAAGGAATGGAAAGGAAATGACTTAGAAAATAATTGTTAGCAATGCTGACATTAATTACCATCGCCTTAGTATAGATGATACGAAAAGCTTAAAGGAGGATTTTACGATTAGAATGGAGGTCGAGGAAGAAGTAATTCACCTAGTTGAGTAACCCACGGACCTCCTGAGGGTGCGAACTGATGCGCAATTCGCATCGAAAAATTTGACCTCGGCGACCTATTATGCCTCAAAGTTGGCGGGTCTGGCGATCTCCGCCCACCGACCAGCTGATCACTCGCCGCAGATCTATACGTGGGATTGATTAGATAGCAGAGAGCGTGATGTTGAGGAGGGCACAGCGATGAGAGTCGCATCAATGCTCAAATCAACGGGCAAGGAAGGGGTCCCATTTCTCGGGTTCTGGGCCGTTTCTCATGGTTCTTCCTTCTTTCGTGTACCACTCACCATCCCTAGTTAATTTGAAATGGGTTGCCTTTCCAGCGTGAATTCGTCCTTTAAGTGTCCTCGTTATTCCCGAATGTCGCTACGTACAGTAGGACTTCCGATGAACACATTAAAATTCATACAGGCTACATTTCTTTACCTACATGCGTTCTGTTCTCCTACTTTCGATGACTTCATGAGACTGTCTGAATGTACTTACGGAGAAAAGTCAGTAAAATTCATGCAAATCTAGGAACTTCAGTCAACGCGTGAATTACGAATTGGGATTTTACTATCAATCGCCATTTCATGAAAATAGCTACCGACTTGATTTCTTAAATGTCGCATCAATTCTCGAACATAAGAAACAGTAAACCCAACCCAAATCTTCTAAAGAAGTCAGGGTGATCAGGAAGATCTTTGAGGTCGTGCGCCCGCTTTTTAAATGGATTTCTTGCATGGTAACGGGCATATGCATGAAATATGAAACAACTAGTTTGTATTTGTGTAGTTGGTTATTTAGCCTCGCAGCGAGTCTCTGGAGCACTCGAAGCTAGAGAAGGGAAGAAGGTGCGAAAATTTTCGCTCTCGGAGAGACATCTAGCAAGTATAGATTTGACAAGCCAGTCCTTTTGAAGCACATTAAAACTACGTTTTTGTACAGTAAGGAGTTGTGTGAACTGATTTGCTGTGATTCAGGAAATAAGGCGAGGCCGCACTTCATCACGAGGTTATAGCGTCGGCCGCATTGTTATTACCTGTGTGTTATAACAGGCGCGGAATAGCCGTATTTCAGTTTCAGATCGCACAGGAGATAAGACACGACAATTAAGCCAAAAAGATGTCGAGAGAGTATCTGTTGTATAGTTATCCGTTATTTAGTTTATGAATTATATCTGAATCATCATCCAGTTGTTTTGTACAACTTGTGGCTTATCAAACGACGCACAGAGTAATTCACCGCAGCTTTGTTATGTTTGCTTTGGTACTATGGGTTGTGAACGATAGGCGTGATATGTTAGATTGCCCGCTCTCGATGGGTCGAGTGTGCCGCAGTGGCGGGATAGCCAAAAGCTTTGCAGGCACTTAATGCTCGGCGCTGGACGCGACTCTCACAAGTTCGTGACCGCAAAAAGAGATCGGGAACCGGGATTGACAAATATGCACTGCGTCTGCGTAGATGAGTTGCAAAAATACACGCCGTCGTAGAGAAACAACCAAAAGGCGGGCTGTGCCATGCGCTCTCGGGGGGCGAGATTCGAATATTTGTACACAGACACTTGTTGGGATGTGACTCAATAGAGTAGACATGGTTGAGATTCAGAGCTGCCACCTCCGAACGATCATTACGCTAGATAGGTCACACTCATCGCATTCTCTCTTACAATAGTGCCAACTGTTGTCGACTGGGTCGACCAGATGCGATCGTGGAATGGCGTGCGATCCCAAACGGGATTGATCACACGGCTAATAATTTGGGTTCATAATTTCTTTAATTTGATCATTCGCTTTCATCACTGATTAGTAGGCTTATTTTTCTATGCAGGATAGATGTCTGATTAGATCTATATCAAGATTTTTTTGAGATATGATTAAGACCACTCAATTTATACAGCTACAGTAAGGTTCTCAATGGTGAGCATGTCATGTCGAGTCACAGGGGTATCGCTGCAAAGGAGACTTCTGTCGCATGACTACGGTGTGGTGTGTTTTCTCGTTCTACATAAAGTCACTTTGTAGCATGCCTATATCAGTGTCTCTGACGAGGCCTTCACTCTCTCCTTCTCCCATAATTGCACGCACGTACACATGGGAATGAATATGGACACGAGATTTGGGTGGGCGCAAGATGACGCATTCATACTAATCTCAACATTAAATCTCAAGAAATATAAAGATGGAAAATGAGATTTCACGATGGACATTCGTGCTAATTCACTCGGTCAGAATATTCCAGAATGCCCTCACGCTCGATACGATACGCAATCTACTTTTGGACCGCAGCGACTTACAGAGTCTGAGACACCGCTTGACTCCTCTATTTCGTGTTGAAGTGAATATTGGCACGCAATAATGGTAGCTATTTGGTGTGAATTAATGCATCCTCTTATAGAGCACGTTCGCACAACTATTTACCTATGGTGTATAAGATTGACTATGATATAATATTATACGACACACATAGGAGTTTCCATGAAATTCCGAGATTGTTTTTAGAATGCATGTTCAGGAGATTACGAACGAAAGTCTAGACGCAGCAGCGCTCCAACAGGATTCATTTATGGTAAATTAACTCACAGCACAGCTCTTCCACACACAAAAAATGAGCGCCAGTAAGATCGAGCTGGCAGTTTTTGCCTTCCAATAAATATGCTAGTTGGATTGGTTAAACAGTTGGCTCACACACTTGAGATACCAAGCATTCTAGTTTAGTGTGTGATACATCCTTGCCTCTCTCATAGAAGGAGGTTTATTCATCTTCAACAAAAGTTGGGTGCGGCGAAGGGCTTAGATTGAACCGGGATGATATCGAATAGCCGGCGCTGCCACACATAGAATTGGTGGCAAGCTCGGTACCTCTAGTGATAGTGATCTATTATCTTGTACATCCGGTTATGTAGCCTTGATATTTGTAGCAGGAAGTAGAGCGCAGTGCCACACCTCCTGCGACTGTGGAATTCCATTTGGCACTCTGGTCAGGGTTGCGTATGACGTTTGCTTCCGCCGTCACTTGGGTTGCTTTACATTCATAATTCGTCGACTGATAGTGCACTATTTGATTTCAAAGAAATTTTGGGAAGTGTGCTCCTATTCAGACCTTGCGAAGATAATCAAGTCGGTATGATGCCATCAACGTGGGATCTGTTCTATACAGCAGCAACATGCTCAGCAAACAGCAAAACACATGTGATCTTTCGGAAATTCGCCGTCGCTGCACTCGCGTCACCGTCTCACAATAATGATCACTTAATTAATTTACTGACTCTCGTACTGGTCCTCACGCGGATTGTTTAAGTGTCTTTAAATAATACCAAATTACTGGATGGAGTAGAAGTTACATTCCTTCTTTTGAGTAATTTGAGATTTTCTCTCATAAAGAGTAGATATTAAGGATCAATATATAGTGATTATTTTACTTAGAGTTCATATACAATGCTTTATAAATTGAACTTTCTTCAGATGAGAGACAGAACTGATTGAATCAGATGCCAACGCAGAAGTATTAAATAGAATGTTTTACTTCAAAAAAAGTACTCTCTCGTGAATGCGCAGGAAAGTGTTTGGAATTTGCAGTCTTGTTGTGGACTGCGCACGCATTTAGCTCATTTGTCACAATTTCGTAAGTGGCGTGATTTGAATGCTCGTGCGACCTCCGAAATCAACGCGATAAAGCTCAAAAGATGAAGGAGTACAATGGTCTCAAGCTTCAACTACTCAGAAAGAACGATTCCTTTGCCTCCTTAACTTGAACATTTCAACTTTTGAATGCTTTTGAAGGCACGTGTCCGGGATTAGCCGGTCAAACAAAATTTTTTCATAAAATCTGTGGGTAGTGTGCTACCACGGAGTGATGAAGCCTACGGTGCTGCGCACACATTACAGTATCTGTCGTGCCGGGGGGCAGCGATGGACAAGTCAGTGTTTTTTTTATTTCCTCCAGACAGTTTTGGTAATGACGCCTCCAGCCCCTTCTCAAGCGGCGCCGACTAGCTTAGGATAAGCGTCGAACGCTTACGCTTCGAGACGCGCTGGGAGGCATGAGTCGAGAATGGAGCTTACCCTAGCTAAGGGCATGTTGTTCATCGGGGTTCGGCTTCTCGACCCGAGGTATTTGCATTTTCACACAAACCAGCGGGGGAGTGAGCATCCCATCGAGCGCAAGTTTCTGCAGAACGTGGTGTAGCGGCTGCCACCTATGCTGAATGCGGTCAACAATAATAAGCGCTCTCACTCTGTGTGCGCACCATATTAGGATGATAATATATTTGAGTTTTTCACACCTCCTCCCTACATATTAGGATTAGTGTTACAGTTCTAGACATATGTACAATTAGGTGCTCATTCTTCAGAAGCGCCATCACCATTCAAACTTCTTTATTGTCCGTATGACTCATACGAGTATGGCTCTCGATAAGTAAACCTACGCT